TTTTCCACAAGGAAAATTATGAGAATTTCCCAAACAATTGTTGGCTAGCAGTAATGAACCAGAAGAGGATGGATTAGACTTGTTGAGACTTTTAAGACCTATGCTGTTATAACCACATCAGATTTTGAACTAAATTTGTCAAGCTGTGAACAGAAATTTTAACTGAATTTTTATAATATATTGATAGTTTGAACAGGACCCCCAAATAACAATTATTAAAAATATTTTTAGGAAAAAAACCAACTTTAAAAAATTGTGTAAATTCTTATTTACCTAAGATAAAGCTTGTTATCTTAGTTTTTCTTTTAAAGAAGATAAAAAGAATTTATATATTCTTAAACTGCATAGTAAAAATTGGCCCAGCCTGCATATAAAAAAAACGATGCTTAACGAAAGCTTTGAATAAGTCAAAGATTAATTAATCCAGGCTTTAAACAATTCATAGACTTGTTTTCTCAGATTTTGAAAAAGCCAAATATTTAACATATTCTTTCAAATTTTAAACAAGTCAAATACATATTTCTCCACATTTTGAACAAATGTTCAAAATACTTATTATACTTCAATAATATGATACTTTATTTATAAATTTGTAGGTAATCTATAATTTGTAGATACACAATTTTCAATTAATTTAAAGTTTCTAAGCAACTGGAGCGAAACCAATACGATTATTGCCTAAATCAAATTCTGTGTAAAACTTTCCAATAAATACATCTCCCAGTACCCAGAAATCTGTACCCATATTGGTGATGGAGGACATGCAGTCACCATCAACAGTAACAATATACGCACTAGGTTCCAAACTAAATATTTTGCCGTTAATTTCGAAGTCAATATTTGGCAAACTATCAATATCATCACAGCTAACGTAGAAGTTACCGCCTTCTTCCAATTCGAAAGCGCCGATCGCCATATTTATAGCAAGATAACCATCATAAGGTGCAACAATAAGACTAGTGCCGGTATCGGCAATAGCTTGGCAGTCAGTACAAGCGGTGGTGCCATTAACAATAGCAGATGTTACTTCAAATTGCCAATAGGTTTCCGAAGAAACGGGCACATAAGTTAAATCACCAGTATATTTCGTTGAATCAGAACCACCAAAAATCAATTCACCGCCATTATCTTCAACATCATCACGAGACAAATAGAATGAGAACACATCATCATCCACTAATTTTTGTGACCACATATTATAGAATGGTGGGACTATATTATCAACTGCTAACGATTGATAGGCCATACCGAATATACCATCGAAATTCGAATTTTGGAATGAGGATGCCTCATTCATAGCTTCAGTGAATGTTTGACTTTTTATTGCCATATCACCCACAGTCACAGTATCAGCAGAGAGGAAACCACTTACACTGCCAGAACCATAAGAGAAGGACACACTTTTGCCATTAGCAACGTAAGTGCTTGAGTCATCGTGATTGTACTGATTGTGACTCTTGCAAACGAAATCCCAAATCCAGCAATGGCTTGATGGAATCCATAAATTACTGGAACCAGAATCGAATTGAACTAGAAACTCTTGTGGTGGTGTGCCAATTGTGATTTTACCATAATAGGCCATGTTTATTTGATTGAAGAGTTCTACTTTGCTGACTGCTCGTGTACTGGGCACATTGTATTTGGTGCGTAGTAAGGCCAACTCGGCACGTACATTGCGTGCAGTCTTTTGGAAGTTTTCCTGTTTGTACACTGGCACGCGTGATAAATCCGCGCTGACCAATGTCACAAAAGCAAATAGAGCTAGTATTTTGAACATTTCACTGTAAGTAAACAATAATTCAGAATTATTCTGAGTCCACCTAAAACAAAAAGTTGTATTTTTTGCTTAAATTAACTTTTTTTTACCTGACGCCTGCTAAGCTGTAGGGCGTTGATTCTGTTATAATTTCATTTCTAATATGAGTTTTGATTTATTTATACCAAACCTAAACAATATTTGGCACACTCTTGTTATCACAAGAAGTTCTTTTAGTGATTTTCCATAACTTATCTGCTGATATTGAATTTCTGCTCTATGGTATTAAATGTCACTTAAGCATTTCAACACTTGTTAATAGTAAAGGCCTTTCAATCAATTCTTTTTTTTTGCTCTATTGAAATGCCTTATTTTTAGAACGACTTTGACCCCAGTAAGAAAATTTTAAATTCTATTCAAAATTGGGGTTTGTTTTCATATTTTTTGATACTTGAAGTTCGTAGATATTTAATGGTTATCTTTCATATGATAGGAATTAGTAATCAAAAAGATTGATAAACTTTAATAGTGTTATTAGATAGATAATCGCTTGTTTTTATTTTTAATTGGTGAAGATAATAGTAATTGATATCATATTGCATATTAATAGATCAACTGAAAATATATATCAAACGACATGTTTAAATCCTTGAAATGGAGAAAATTGTAGTCTCGCTTAAAAAACTAGCACGTTTAGTACAGTAGATGATAGATCTTACATGCACTGATGGATCTTACATGTAGATGGATTATGTAATTGTTTAACGCAGTTTCGTGCTATATGGGTTAGAACGCTAAATTTAATATAGTAAACATAATGTTCCAAGAAACGCTCCATTGGGATAAAATCCGATGATATTAATTGAAGTTATATGTTGAGATACGACTCTTCTTCTTTATTAAAGGTCGAGGCCCATCAAACCCCTGCTGTTCTTTGGGTCACAGGAGCTGTTTAAAAAAATTTGATTCCATATTGAATGAAAGCATGAGTAAATTTACTCTTTCTGAGTAAATTTATGTGGTAGTTACAGGCACCACGAAACTCCCTTGTGGAGTTAATCGAAGTTGTAGGCAGCTAGATTCTTTGGTATCAGATTTTACCTCTAGTGGATGTTACATGTGAAAACCCATCTACTACCGGTTATACTCTAAAACAGTACATGGCACTGAATTTTAATGACAGGCATGGCTTACTTTGGGAATATTCAAAACATCATACCGCAAGAGATGATGTAGATGGATTGATCATAAGGTAGAAAATTATAGGTTAATGCTTTCATTTTTCATTATAAAGTACATCTGTTATTCAATATACGTAAAAATGTATGCATATATATATTCAAATACTATAATAAAACCAAACCAAAGAGTAACAAAACACCCATTTCCTATAACTTAGCTTCGCAATAATAATTACCAGTAGTTTTGCAAGAATAAAATAAAAGGAAATAATTTAGCCACAATAATGTGAGCCAAAAATTCAATTAATTATAATTAATAAAAATTTTTGTTGTTGCAATTTACTCATATTCGACAAAAATCTCTTTATTGACAACAATATTTTTTGGACGTTAATATACTAATATATACTTTTGTGACTACCAAGGTATATTAATATGCATAACATCCTGGTAATATCACTGATCTGGTAACGTTAATCCAAAAGTATTTATTGTTTTCATGCACAAAAAACATGATTGATTGAACATGATAATTGTCAATAATATTTAATACCCAGCGATAAAGTACTAATTTTAGGCAAAAAATTATTTTCATAAGTATCTTCAATGAATAGTTTTTTACTAATCAAGTAAATTGGCGCTGGAAATCCTTGAAATACTACTCCACTAGGTCGGTTTATATTATATTAAAAATTGATATGCTAATATTAGCCTCACTATATTTTTAACTATTGTATTATATTTTATACTACTTTCACTAGTAGTATAGCACTTGAATTTAACACTTAAGTGTTGTTCACAAACACTATTTCTATGATTTTTGTAAATTTAATATTAAGATTATTATTAATTTATTAATTAAATATATTTGAATTTATATACATTGCTGCATACAATCATTACAACTCCAACTATTGAGCGAAATAGAGATCAGTATGTTCTCGAGGTAAATTCTGCTTACCATAGAAGTCGACTAAAATTCTCAAAAATACTTTTAGAAGCTTTAGAGCCGAGATGTGTAAACGATGTCTTTAGTGAGAATAGTGATTGTTTTAAACGGCTATCACACCAACGAGAGAGACATCACGCATCGCGGGATCGGAACGACTCTATTATTAATGGAAAACTTTTACTATAGAGAAAGAAACCAATAAAATTAAATATCCTCAAGTAATGAAATATATATTATTATTATTATTATTATTTATTCCATACTCCTTTAGGAGCTTAAGGATACAACAAACGATTTCCAATTTTCTTTATTTTGTGAAATTTGTTGAAGTTTGTTAAACGATTTGTCAGTTTCAGTATTAATTGATCTTCACCATGTTGTCGTTGGCATGCCTCTACGCCAGGTTCCCTGGGGATTCCATGTTAGCGCTGCATACAGAATATCGTCAAAAGGCTTACGCAGCGTATGGCCTATTCACTCATATTTTCCCTTTAGAATTTCAATATTAATAGACGTTTGGTCAGTTTACCTCCACAGAGTTCTTCAGTTGATATCCTTCTGGCTATCATATCTTCAAGCAGCGGTCTCGCAAGCAGCAGGTAATGGAACCTAGGTAAAGGAACCAAGAAAAAGCAACAAATTTTCAGTTAATACTATAACTTTATTCTATATCTATATTCTATAGATTACAAAGTATATAAATCCTTCGTACAGCAATTATTTTTTTTTGAAAATTTTAGATCAAATAGGATTATATTTTCTTCTGCGGTAATCTAATTTTAATCATTAAAATATTTCAATAAAATATATTTAAAATTTATTTAAGAAATTATTATTATTACAATCAATCTGGAAATTATTCGCATCTGAAATTACAAGCTTTTTTTATTTTTATTATTTCAATTACAAAAAATTAATAAAAAAGTTATTAAAAAAATGTTTTATTAGTTGAAATAATTAATTTATGGTTTCAAAAGTATTTTTTATTAACTTTTCGTATATAAGAATTCGTACTCAGCCGACTCGGCGATAGATATTATTGGATTTTTGTGACATAAAATATAGCGAATAAATATTTCTGTTGTTTATAATTTATGTTTTATTTTAAAGAATTTAATTACATTTTTATTTTTATTTTTATTATTGTATTTAATAGAGAGGTTTCGAACAGTAGTGAATTGTAACAACAAAATTTTTATTTATTGTTAATTACTTGAATTTTTGAATGACCATACAGACTATTTCACCAGTAGTCTTGGATTATAAGTTTCTTATATTTAATTATTGGTAATTATTTATTTGAGACTGCAAGTACCAAGAGTTGAACTTGTACTATCACCAAATATTTAGCTCAGAGTCAGTGTTCATTAGACAACCGACCCAAAGTCGTACTTGACTTATGTGTTCCAACTTGGAATTTATTTTTTGTTGTTTTGCTATAAAAGTTCATTAACAAATTCACTTTCTGTGTTATATTAGGATGAAATCAATAATGATAAGTATTTGGCAATACTCCAATCAGCTGTATGGTCAAAAATTCAATTAATTAAAAATAATAAAAATTTTGTTCATACAATTCATTACTATTCAAAACCTTTCAATTTAAGCATTTCACATCTTTTACTTTTTTGTTTTAGTAAATAATTTGACTAGTAATACATTTAAATTTTTTTTTTCTTATAAAGACATTCCTTAACAGTTTTTATATAGTAATGTACTAAAAATATATTTTATTATTAATTAATTATTTATTGTTATCTCAGCGCGACACACTTTCAGAGCAGACATCTTAATTACTTTATCTAATACGTCTTGTACTGATTAGAAATTATTATTATTATTTTTTTTTTACTTAACCTGCTACCTGTTAAATAAATATCTAAAAACGACAATTGATTAAGGTTATTTTAATTATAGTTCAATATATTCTCTTTTTAACAGCTGTTTGAGAAGTCATTCCATGACTTTTAAGTTTTTGTTAATTTGAAATTAATTTTTTCACATATAAAAAAATTGTATGAGGTTCTTTGTGATTCTTAAAATCTTCTTAAATCTTCTTTGTTGATTCAAAGTTTATTGGAATTATTTCTAACAAGTTTTAAAATTTGTTTAATAAAAATGTAAATTTCTTCAAATCGAATAAACGC